CCCCCCCCAAGTACTCTGCACCTCCTAAAAGGAGCAGTGACTATTTCACTTAACTGATAACGATTACCTGAAATCCTCAAGGCAGAAGCAAGTGCTCTGCAGGTGACATTTTGGAAAAATATCTGTTTTATCTTACACCTTCTACTTGCTTCCTGTTAGCATTGAGCAATTAGCCTACAATTGTTTGTAAGGCTGAAATAAATAAAATTAATCCCATATTCTTCCCATTAAAAAGTCTTTAATACTGTTAACTTTTGTAAGTTTTGAAATAGCAGAATAAACAAAGCTTCACATTACCTTGTCTACCATATTAATGGGTAAGCATCTATTTATACTTGTATAGTTTGGTGTATTTACAAGTTTAACAACCCAGCTCAGTTTTGTTCCGATTTGATTCCAACTCAGAGTCACATTTTTATTTTTTTTTTAAACCACTGCTTTTGCCAGGCTAGCAAAGCAGCTACAACGTATGGGCCAACGTAAATCCATTGCCTTCACAAGCTCCTTGCTACTAAAAATAACTTTCGCATAACCATCTCAAACATTACTAGTCCTTTCAGCCGCTTCAATTTAATGGAATTGCTCACCTCACAGATAACTTTGAAAACATGCTGAATTGCCTTAGGGATAATGCCTACAGAATCTTCATTTCCCATCATTGTGTATGTCTTCCCTGAAGCTGTCTGTCCATAAGCGAAAATTGTGCCTAGAACAGATGGTCAAATTTTACTAATTATTCATGAAATACATTAAAAACAGGATTTAAACACAGTTTTAAAACTTACCATTATAACCTTGCACAGCTGACTGTATGATTGGAACAGCTACACCTTCATATAACTGCTGAGTGCTGTCACTTGAGTGAAACACACGATCTTAAAAAAAATAGAAAAATAAAGCACATGAATACATTGTATTGCAAGTCAAAACCAAGCTGCCATCTTGCTATTGCTGACTTCAAATTCAGTAAATAGGCATCAGACTGTTTGCAGCAGGATTCAAGTTTTAAATGTAGTTGTAACACTTCTAATGCAGGCTTTTTTTCCTTAAAGAAATATTAAGCTTGAAACCAACAAAGAGATGATGAGCAGAAAGGTCAAAAAAAATGATGGACACAGTTAAATAGCCATCCCATTTAATCCTTTAAAAAAAAAAAATAAAAATCGGTTATGGCTAGTTTATCTATGAGGATTGTAAACTTGACAAGACAGGCTAATTGTTAAACTCCTAGCCTGGAACATGGTTTTATTGAATCTATATTTTGGGAAAAATCTTTGTAGTGGCTACATTCATAGAATGGTTAGAACTGGAAAGCACCTTGAGATCATCTAGTTCCAACTCCATGCCACAGGCAGGGATGCCTCACACTAGACCATGTCGCCCAAGGCTCTGTCCAACCTGGCCTTGAACACTGCCAGGGATGGAGCATTCACAACTTACTTGGGCAACCCATTCTGGTGCCTCATCACCTTCACTGTAAAGAGCTTCTTCTTTACATCTAACCTGAACTTCCCCCGTTGAAGTTTAGGGGATCTAAATTTGTCCTATCACTACAGTCCCTGATGAAGAGTAGAGTGGATCAGGAGGAAAAGACTCAAAGTGAGGTAGTTACAACAATCTAACACCCACACTACACGCTTTTACATATTGGGTTCCCAAAGGCCTTTCTCCCTTAATGCTCTGGACTAGCCATAGTCTAGTCCATTTGTAACTGGAATTCACATAAAAAGAATCCAGTTCATGTGTTCCAATGCCACTCTACAGCACAAACCAGAACAGAGAAAGCCATGTTCACCAGGAAGCTGCCTTCGAGAGCACATTCCTGGTACTGACAAAACCAGAAATCCTGTTTGCCCAGATGGCACTCCTTTAAAATTATGAAAACAGAAAAAAAGTTAATGGACATTGCAAAAAGCCAGCAACATTAACCTTAGTTAATACATTCAAGTAGCACAGTAACAAAAGTCCGTGTAAGCATCGAAGTAACTGCTTTCCTATTCTTACCGTAACTGAACACTTTCGTCCCATTCACTTCAGAAATCGTATTATTTTCACTTTTCCAGTGGAGTGACGCTTTATCTTCTAAAGCATTTTCCCTAAAACAAAGGAATATCCCGTTACCTTTATTGGGCGAGGGCTCTGCTCCTACACCGCGGGTGCACCCTCTTTCCGCGACCACCGCCCACCCCAGCAACCCCCGACAGCCCTTGCTTGTTCTGGCTTTCTCCTTCCTCCGCGGGGACGGACATCGCCCTTAGTCCCCACCTGCCCTTCTTCGCAGGGCTGCAGCGGCGCTCCCGGGGGCCCGGCTGAAGGCGAGAAGGGGCCGCAAAGCCCGG